GCTATTTTTTTTTACTGAATTGAATGCAATAATTAGGAAAGCAATCAGAACCAAGGAGAAGCATATTCTGAGATACTGGAAGCACTAGTCTTCATTAAGTATGCAACGTCCTATCAATTACAAGTGCATTTTTAAATGCTATTGTGGTTTACTTGTGGATGCATAAGGAGGCAGCAAATACCAATGGATGTTTACTCCCATGAATGAGATGCAGACATATAATCTCTGTATTAAACCACTGGTGCGGGTGTGTATTCATTTGGAGAAAACTCTAATCAAGTTGTTATTTTCTATCTAAAAAGCAGGAAGGATGTGGTTGCATTTTGAATTAGATTTATACTACTAATTTTGCTGCAACCATTTTCAAGTCTTGATGTTGAGAAATGAGGTAGAAATGTTGACTAGAGCAAGATAGAAAGCACATATCTTGCTTTTAAGAAGGAAGTAGCCAAGAAGAAATCATAAAATTCTCCTCCCAGAGGCAAACAAGCTGTAAGTTAAATTCAATATTGATCCTGTGGACAAGCTCAGTTTTATTCCAAAACTGGATTTAAAATGTGGGGTTTCACAGTATTAGATGCAATCAGGGAAAGCTTCATTGAGAAAGTGAGGTAAAACAGCACTGCTTTTTTTTAACATGTAATGTAAATTTATTTTTAAAAATTAAATACATTAATCACAGAAGTATGTACAAACATCTCCCAGCACAACACAGAGTTTCACCTACTATACAGAAAGTCAACATGGTTCCACTGGGAAATTGCAAGTGGATTCAGGTGGAACAATGAAGGCTTAACCAGTTCACATCTCGTCTTGAAGAGATGAATTGTTGTTTGAGACTGTTCAGAGGATATTCTTGCATCTTTATGTACTAAATCAAAAATATGGAACGCTTCACGAATTTGCGTGTCAAACAGCACACGTCTTTTGATCACACAGAAATTGCCATGTCAGATTTTAATTATTCTTGCTTGTGAAATCTTGGTGAAAAAGTCATGGATTACTTTCAGTGACAAGCATTTGTGAGTTCAAGAACCTGAAGAGCCGGTTCCAAACTCCATTCAAAAAGCAAGAAAGTTGTGTCGACAGGTTTCCCCCAAATACAATTTTGTAAGCTTTTTGTAAGAGCCTTCAGGATGAAAGTTCTCCCTTTGTGATTAGCCTTGCAACTTCCTTCTCTTCTCACTCTCCAGCTGCACTCACCCTTTCATGTTATGACCAGCACTCCCTTTTTCACTCACCTGCTACCATAAAACTGACACAACAAAATGTTTGCGACTTGAAGACAGAAAATTGACTCTAGGAAAAGTATTGCAAACAAGAGGGGAAAGGAATCATAGAGACCTTCCACACACGTATATAATTCAGAATGTCAAGGCAGATAATCCACAATATCTGCTTTGAACTGGATTATCTGAGTCCACACTGCCATATAATCTAGTTCAATGTGGACTTTATACAGCTGTGTGGAAGGGGTCAGAGTGGGAGGGATATCTGTATGCAGAGCAATCTTGTAACACCTCTGTGACTGAGAGAAAGAAATTATAAGTATAAACTGTCAGATACACTGAATACATATTGACTGTAGGATTAATACAGTTTGACACTACTTTAACTGCCAGGGTTCAATGCAATGAACTCATGGGAGTTGTAGTTTGGTGAGGTACCAGCACTATTTGGCAAAGAAGGCTAAAAGCCTTGCAAAACTACAACTCCCATGATGTCACAGCATTGAGTCATGACATTTAAAGTGGTGCCAAACTGCATTTATTAGACAGCGTAGATAAAGCCTTAGCCAAGCGTCTCCAACCCTGGGAGCTACTAAAATAGTCTTGTTTCATCTCTCTGTTTTAACCATGCTGTACCTTTTAATTCTGTTGCACCCTGCCTCAAGAAGGAGCAGGTAATACATCTATGGTGATGATGATGTAAGGCAAACCCAGGATGGCACTATAAATCACCAATGGGACTCTACAGTCAGTCACGATGTGCCAGGGAGTATGCCTGCATTCATATACAGGCAGTCCCAGAGACACAAACATCCAACCTACAAATGACTCATAGTTCTAATCACCACAGGGACAGAAAGAGAGGTGAAATCCTTTGAACAAAAGCATAGACAGCAAAAGAAATACCACAGGGTGTTAACCCTTCCCTATGCTATCCAAAACTAAGCATAGGTAGGTAGGTAGGTAGAGAGAGAGAGAGAGAGAGACTGGGGTTCCACTTTTTAAAAAGTACCTGTTCTGACTTACAAATAAATTCAACTTAAGAACAAACCTGCAGAACCTATCTTAATCGTAACTTGGGGGCTACCTAGAAATAGCTCTATCCCATTTACAATTTCAGAGTCACAATTTTTTTAATCACATAACTAAAACATTAAGTGTGCAGATATCTTTTTAGGAGGAAAAACTTGCCTAAAATTAAAATTGGAAAACTAATCCACTGGGTAGCTGTTAAGACTGAAGACAAATTGGGGGGGGGGGGCAGTGCTTAAAAGATAAGTATGAGGGAGAATAGAGTTAGCAGTGAATACATTGAGAGGAGAAATCAAATACACAGGAAATTCATACACAGGAAATGCATTTGAAGCTTAGGTGGTGGGTAGGATGCAGAAGTCTTAATGTTCAAATAAGTAAAAAATAACAAGAGCCTGGTGAAGTGGCTTTATATCACGCATGGGCAAACTTCAGCCCTCCAGATGTTTTGGACTTCAACTCCCAAAATGTTAAGATTTAACGTATGGGATTGTTGTAATGGTTTAAATTTTATATTGCATGTTTAGCTGTTGTTGTAAACTGCTTTGGGTCCTCAGAGAAAGGTGATATAGAAATTTGCTAAAATCATGGGAGTTGATGTTCAAAACATCTGGAGGGCCGAAGTTTGTTCATGCCTGCTTTATATCCATAACAGCAGATGCAAAAATATGAAAGTATGTCCTCTTTTTCTTTGATAATTTGGTGAAGTTTATAACCACAAAAACCTATATCAAAATAAAATCCAGTTAAGTCTTAAAAGATACTACTACAACATTTCCTTAATTCTTTTCTCCATATCTTTCCTCTTTCCCCTTTCTGCCACTCCTTCTTTCTTCTTTCCTTCTTTTATGCTGCAAGACACTCTACTTCAGCTACTTCTTCAAAAACCAACTTTTAATTTTCAAACTGAAAAGGAAGGAGCTAAAATAAAAGCCAGTTAAGTCTTAAACGATACTACTACGGTCCCTTCCACACAGCTGAATAAAATCCCACATTATCTGCTTTGAACTGGGATATATGGCAATGTGGAGTCAGATAACCAATTTCAAAGCAGGTGGGATTTTCTGCCTTGGTATTCTGGGTTATATGCCTGTGTGGAAGGGCACGCCCTACATTTCCTTCTTTCATTTCTCCATCTCTTTCCTCTGCCCTTACTTCCTTCTTTCTTGTCCACAATAAAAAGCCAATTAAATCTTAAAAGATACCACTACTACTACTACTACATTTCCTTCTTTCTCTTTTCCATCTCTTTCCTCCTCCCCTACTTTCTTATTTTCTGGCCAAAACATAACCCAGTTAAGTTTCAAAAAATACCACTACTTCTACTACATTTCTTTCTTTTTCTTCTCCACATTTTCCCTCCTCCCTTACTTTCTTCTTTCATGTCCAAAATAAAAAGCCAGTTAAGACTCAAAAGATACCACTATTTCTACTACAACATTTCCTTCTTTTGCTTCTCATATCTTTCCTCCTCCCTTACTTTCTTCTTTCCTGGCCAAAATATAACCCAGCTAAGTTTCAAAAGATACCACTACTTCTACTACTACATTTCCTTCTTTCTCTTCTCCATCTCTTTTATCCTCCCCTACTTTTTATTTTCTGTCCAAAATAAGCCAGTTAAGACTCAAAAAAACCCACTACTTCTACTACAACATTTCCTTCTTTCTCTTCTCCACATTTTTCCTCCTCCCTTACTTTCTTCTTTCCTGGCCAAAATAAAAAGCCAGTTAAATCTTAAAAGATACCACTACTACTACATATCCCTCTTTCTCTTCTCTGTCTCTTCCCTCCTCCCCTACTTTCTTCTTTCCCCGGCCAAAATACAACCCAGTTAAGACTCAAAAGATACCACTACTTATACTACTACATTTCTTTCTTTCTCTTCTTCATCTCTTCCCTCCTCCCCTACTTTCTTCTTTCCTGTCCAAAATACAACCCAGTTAAGACTCAAAAGATATCACTACTTATACTACTACATTTCCTTCTTTCTCTTCATCTCTTTCCTCCGCTCTTACGTTCTTCTTTCTTGTCCAAAATAAGACAGTTAAGACACAAAGGATACCACTACTACTACTACTACATTTCCTTCTTTCTCTTATCCATCTCTTTCATCCTCCCCTACTTTCTTATTTTCTGGCCAAAACATAACCCAGTTAAGTTTCAAAAAAATACCACTATTTCTACTACTACAATTCCTTCTTTCTCTTCATCTCTTTCCTCCTCCCTTACTTTCTTCTTTCTTGTCCAAAATAAGACAGTTAAGATTCAAAAGATATCACTACTTATACTAATACATTTCCTTCTTTCTCTTCTCCGTCTCTTTCCTCCTCCCTTACTTACTTCTTTCCTGTCCAAAATAAGCCAGTTAAGACTCAAAAGATACCACTACTTTTACTACAACATTTCCTTCTTTCCTCCTGCCTTACTTTCTTCTTTCCTGTCCAAAATACAACCCAGTTAAGGCTTAAAAGTACCTTTCCTTCCTTCTACCTCCCTTTCTTTCTTCTTTCCTGCTGCAAGAGACACTACTTTTAGCTACTTTTTCGAGAACAAATGTCAAACTTTTTTTATTTCCAAACTCAAAGGAGTTTCACAGAGTTTGAGGGGAGAAAAAGGAAGACAAGTTGAAGAACCGACTCAAGAGTCGCTTTAAAAGGATTTGCACTGTTTGGCTACAAAACCCACACACACACAGAGAGAGAAATACACATGGCAGGCAGGCAAGCAAGGCAGACGTACCAGCTGCTGACGGATCCAGCGCCACATCCCCTCGACCGACCGGCCGGCCTTTTCCCTGAGGGCGAGGTTTCCCTTTCCCCAGTCCTTGCGAACAAAACGAGAGATACAAAAAAAGAAAAATACAAAAAAGGAACCCGCTCTGGCCCAGTTTCGTCGTCAGCAGGAGCAGTGGCGCGGCTGTGTCAGAGGCAGTGGCCGTGTCTGCTGGTGCAGGTGGTGGTGGAGCCGCCGCCCCCTCTCCTCCTCGCCTCCGCCGCTCCCCATCCTCCCCCGGCGCTAGTTAGCAGCAGCGGCGACGCGGAAGTCCCTCCGTGGCCCAGCCCGGCCCTCGCCGCCCCGCGCCTGCCGCTCTGAAGGGGCCCCGCTGCTGCTCCCGAAGCGGCGCCTGCCTCAGGAGCGCCGCCATCTTGAATCCCCCCGCCTCCCGTCGCCTCCCGTCGCTAGGGGTCTCCCCTCGGTCCGGCGCACCTCCAGGAAGTGACGCCATGGGGCGGGACTTGTCGCCCCCGCGAAGCAGCAGTTGGAGGGGGAAAGAGGGAAGCGGGTAAACGGACGGGAAGGGAACCAATAGGAACGTGCGCCCTGTCTGCCCCAAAATAGCGCCCGCTAGAGGCGTTGAAGTACATCTCATTGTTGGTCTGTGGGAACCACACAGCCCAGAATATCAAGGCAGAAAATCCCACAGTATCTAGGTTGTTGTAGGTTTTTTCGGGCTATATGGCCATGTTCTAGAGGCATTTCTCCTGACGTTTCGCCTGCATCTATGGCAAGCATCCTCAGAGGCAGTGAGGTCTGTTGGAAATGCATCAAGGAACATGAAAGGCACTGCAGACTACTTCAACCAGAGAAGTCAGCCATAGCAGAGCACCTGATGAACCAGCCTGGACACAGCATATTATTTGAGAACACAGAAATGCTGGACCACACCAACAACCACCATGTCAGACTACACAGAGAAGCCATCGAAATCCACAAGCATGTGTACAATTTCAACAGAAAGGAGGAGACCATGAAAATGAACAAAATCTGGCTACCAGTATTAAAAAAACTCTAAAATCACAACAACAAAACAGCAGAGAGAAAACAACCAGGCGCATCTTAACACCTCTCAACAGAACATTTTCCCAGGCTCAGTCAGACCTTCAAATGCTAATGAAGGTGATCAGCTGAAACATTCACACCTAGCTTCAGCAGAGAGCTCTTTGCCCCACCCCAGTCATTCCACAGATATATAAGCCCATTTTCCTATTTCCAACAGACCTCACTGCCTCTGAGGATGCTTGCCATAGATGCAGGCAAAACGTCAGGAGAAATGCCTCTAGAAAATGGCCCTATAGCCCGAAAAAACCTACAAAACCTAGTGATTCCATCCATGAAAGCCTTCGACAATCCCACAGTATCTGTTTGAACATGAATATATGGCAGTGTGGACCCAGATAACCCAGTTCAAAGTAGATACTGTGGGATATAGGGCTGTGTGCTACTTGGTCCTTGTACAGATTCCTCAGGAGAGAGACAAGGTGGCTTGGTATGCCCATCCCACCAAGAACTTGCCACAATTTATTATGTCAAAGCTTTTGCTTTAGAATCATAGAATCAAAGAGTTGGAAGAGACCTCCATGGCCATCCAGTCCAACCCCATTCTGCCAAGAAGCAGGAATATTGCATTCAAAGCACCCCTGACAGATGGCCATCCAGCCTCTGTTTAAAAGCTTCCAAAGAAGGAGCCTCCACCACACTCCGGGGCAGAGAGTTCCACTGCTGAACAGCTCTCACAGTCAGGAAGTTCTTCCTCATGTTCAGATGGAATCTCTTTTCTTGTAGTTTGAAGCCATTGTTCCGTCCTAGTCTCCAGGGAAGCAGAAAGGAAGCTTGCTCCCTCCTCCCTGTGGCTTCCTCTCACATATTTATACATGGCTATCATATCTCCTCTCAGCCTTCTCTTCTTCAGGCTAAACATGCCCAGCTCCTTAAGCCGCTCCTCATAGGGCTTGTTCTCCAGCCCCTTGATCATTTATTCGCTCTCCTCTGGACACATTCCAGCTTGTCAATATCTCTCTTGAATTGTGGTGCCCAGAATTGGACACAATATTCCAGTGTGGTCTAACCAAAGCAGAATAGAGGGGTAGCATTACTTCTCTGGACCTAGACACTATGCTCCTCTTGATGCAGGCCAAAATCCCATTGGCTTTTTTTGCCGCCACATCACATATCAAGGCAGAAAATCCCACAGTATCTGTTTGAACGTGAATATATGGCAGTGTAGATTCAGATAACCCAGTTCAAAGCAGATATTGTGGGATATAGGGCTGTGTGCTGCTTGGTCCTTGTACAGATTCCTCAGGAGAGAGACAAGGTGGCTTGGTATGCCCATCCCACCAAGAACTTGCCACAATTTATTATGATCCACACAGTCAAAGGCTTTAGAATAGTCAATGAAGCAGAAATAGATGTTTTTCTGAAACTCCCTGCCTTTCTCCATTATCCAGCGGATATTGGCAATCTGGTCTCTCGTTCCTCTGCCTCTCTCTCCTGAGGAATCTGTACAAGGACCAAGTAGCAACAGTCAGAACTGACCACGGAACAACAGACTGGTTCAAGATTGGGAAAGGCGTCCAGCAAGGCTGCATACTCTCACCCAACCTTTTTAACTTGTATGCAGAACACATCATGCGATGTGCGGAGCTTGATTGAAAATTGCTGGAAGAAACATTAACAACCTCAGATATGCAGATGACACCACTCTGGTGGCCGAAAGCGAGGAGGAGCTGAGGAGCCTTTTAATCAAGGTGAAAGAAGAAAGTGCAAAAGCTGGGTTGCAGTTAAACATTGAAAAAACCAAGATTACGGCAATCAGATTGATTGATAACGGGGAAATAGAGGGAGAAAACATGGAGGCAGTGACAGACTTTGCATTTCTAGGTGCGAAGATTACTGCAGATGCAGACTGGTGCCAGGAAACCAAAAGACGCTTACTTCTTGGGAGGAGAGCAATAATCAATCTTGATAAAATAGTGAAGAGTAAGGACATCAAACTGGCAATGAAGATTCACATAGTTAGAGCAATGGTATTCCCCATAGTAACCTAAGGATGTGAGAGCTGGACCTTAGGGAAGGCTGAGCGAAGAAAGAGATGCTTTTGAACTGTGGTGTTGGAGGAAAGTTCTGAGAGTGCCTTGGACTGCGAGAAGATCCAACCAGTCCATCCTCCAGGAAATAAAGCCCGACTGCTCACTGGAGGGAAGGATACTAGAGACAAAGTTGAAGTACTTTGGCCACATCATGAGGAGACAGCAAACCTAGAGAAGACAATTATGCTGGGAAAAGTGGAAGGCAAAAGGAAGAGGGGCCGACCAAGGGCAAGATGGATGGATGGCATCCTTGAAGTGACTGGACTGACCTTGAAGGAGCTGGGGGTGGTACCCGTATCCATGTTTCCATTTATCACTGTCCAATGAAATATATCATCTCTTGGCATTTCTTCCATTTCAACAGTGTGCTATTAATGCAGAATTATCCACGTGAAGTCCAGGAACATGTCCCTTGTGGATAGGGGGATCATAGTCTAAATATGCAGAAATCGATCTTTAATAGTGAATCCCACTCTCTGATGGAGATCTGGGAACTATAATTCTCCACAGGGCAGGGAAATGTGTAACAAAAATGCAGTCTCCAAAACTGCAGAACTCTGAAGAAAATCTACCTTGAGTTTGAAGGACTGTTTGCAATTTCCATTTTGGACCTGCTTGCCAGCTTTGAAATGGACAATAAAAAGTCTGTAAATTATGTCACAGTTCTTCTCTGAGCACCTCTGTTATGTTTTTGCTTATTCTGTGGTGCAGGATGACCAAAACACTTTTTGCTGGGTTGGTACAAGTTGTAATGATGCCAGAAACTATAATGAGCAGATCTATAGTGCTTTGTTGATAGTTAATAAAGGTAAAGGTTTTCCCCTGACATTAAGTCCAGTCGTGCCCAACTTTGGGGACTGGTGCTCATCTCCATTTTTAAGCCAAAGAGCCAGCACTGTCCATAGACACCTCGAAGGTCATGTGGCCAGCATGACTGCACCTTCCCACCAGAGCAGTACCTATTGATCTACTCACATTTGCATGTTTTCAAACTGCTAGGTTGACAGAAGCTGCGGCTAACAGCGGGAGCTCACGCTACTCCCTGGATTCAAACTTGCAACCTTTTGGTCAGCAAGTTCAGCAGCTCAGTGCTTTAACCCATTGCACCACTGGGGCAACTCCACTGGACCGGCCATGTTGTCCGGATGCCTGACCACCGTTTCCCAAACCAGTTGCTCTACTCTGAACTCAAGAATGGAAAACAGATTGTTGGTGGGCAGGAAAAGAGATTTAAAGATGGGCTCAAAGCCAACCTTAAAAACTCTGGCATAGACACTGAGAACTGGGAAGCCCTGTCCTGTGAGTGCTCCAGCTGAGGTCAGCTGTGACCAGCAGTGCTGCAGAATTTGAAGAGGCACGAATGGGGGGCGAAAGAGAGAAACGTGCCAAGAGGAAGGCATGTCAAGCCAACCCTGACCAGGACCGCCTTCCACCTGGAAACCAATGCCCTCACTGTGGAGACGATGCAGATCAAGAATAGGGCGCTATAGTCGCCTACGGACCCACCCTGGAGGATTATCCTACTCGGACAGCGAGGGATCACCTAAGTAAGTAAGTAAGTTGTTATATAAACTGGCATGCCTGCTTTGAGTGTATCTGCACTGTAGAATGACTGCAGTTTGACTGCCTGGGATTTGTAGTATGGTGAGGCACCTGTATCCTTTGGAAAAGAACACTAAAAACCTCACAAAACTATACATCCCATGATTCTGGTGAATGAGGATAGTTACAGAAGGGTGTCATTATGTTTTAGTTGGTGTATAATGGAAATTCCAAGAATAGAACCACAGCATCAACATCGTCCTCATGTATTGTTTCTGGAAAGCAAACCTACCCTTGTAAAACCGTACTCATAAAAACTGGACATTGAACCTGGAATGAAATACACAAATTAGACATGCTCGACTTGGCAGTTAAATAATTTGTGTAGAACCATTTTGGATTTCTTTGAAAATGCTCCGAAGAAGATTGTATTGATTACCAATGGAAAAGAAACCTATTGTTTTAGGACTTAACTAATTTAAAGATACATTGAAAAAAGGAAGACCAGAGACCCATTTACACTACAGAATTATGCTTCTTCTAGTCCATTGTAACTACCATGGTGGCACCTCTAGTGAAATATCCTAAACTATAGTTTCCAAGAAAACATATTGATTTTCTTTTCTGAAAGCTTCACCTATATCAGTGGTTCCCAACCTTTGGTTGTTCAGGTGTTTTAGACTTCAGCTCCCACAATTCCTAACAACTGGTAAGATGGCTGGGATTTATGGGAGTTGAAGTCCAAAACACCTGGAGGAC